ACTACCCAGTTTTCATACATTTTCTACGATTTTCTTGTCGTATACATGATATATAAGTGAAATAAATTAATTTGTAAGCAAAAAAGAAAAAAAAACAAAAAACTATAGCTGTTCGACGAGAAATGGTAATATCATCCAATCGAATAAGTGATATCACCTTTTCGAATTGGTGATATTACAAATTCAAATCAAATAGGTGATATCACTTATTCAAATAGAGGATACTACTTTTGCAGTAAATACCTATGAATTAAATCACAGTAGTGAAAACCCAATCATAAATATGTGTTTTTATGCTGTTGAATTTTGAACCGGTTTCATGATCAAAATTCCACGACCCGGCTCAGTTTTCAACGGATTAGGGTCTAAATTCAACACCTTTGGTCTCAGTATTTAACGTTGAAAAATGACCCTCGGGTCAATTTTCAACCCGGGTCGAAATTCAACGTTACAACGGCTATACTTCCACTGCCCGTTTCCTAGTGGCTATGCGGGCAGAGCTTGGTTTTGTGACCTAACTCTCCACAGTTCCAACAGTCCAGCTTTCTCCCATGCCTGCAGTATCGCGATATGTGACCACTTTCCCCACAGAAATAGCAGAAGGTTGAACGGAAGGAATCGTTGCAAACTGATGTTGTAATTTTTCTGAGGTTTCCTCGCCCGTTTCCGCTTTTCAGTATATTCACATATCCTTGGTAGATTTTAAGCAGTGCTGCGGTACCTCTGTCTGACAGGTGGATTCCGTCTTTCCAGTAGTATCCCTGTTCAAGATTTCCATCTCCAAAGAACTTTGAAGTAGTGACATTGTGAAAAAAATAAATCAACAGCCGTTTGGACCACACTTTGGACTACAATGTGATGAGGTAACTGACATAAGTAACTGGGAACAACTGGGAATCGTCTTGCGTTATACACGTGACAATAAACCTGTGGATCGATTACTAGAATTTGTGCAATGTGAAGGCACAAGTTGGTTAGAAATTTGTGACAATGTCATTAAATCTCTTTCGACAGCTGGCATTGATGTAAAATGCTGCCGTTCTCAAACAACGGATGGAGCAGAAAACATGTCCGGAAAATACAATGGTTTTGCTGCAAAATTCAAAGAAGTTTCTCCAAAGGCAACATATCACTACTGCAGTAATCACGATTTGAATCTAGTCTCTACAAGAGCTGTCAGGTAAAGGAAGTGCATGTGATGTTGGATGCACTGAAGCAACTTGGAATTTTCTTTCATTACTCTCCAAAGAGGAGCAGGCGTCTTGAGAAAGTCGTAACTACCGTGAATGAAGGAAGGCCAGCAAAAGATGTCATTACAAAATCAAAAATGAAGAAAATATTTTGTGAAACCCGATGGGTGGAGAAAATAACAACACTTCAGGATTTCGAAGACCTATATGAAGCCTTACTTACTTGTTTAGATACCACTGAGTTTTCTGAACGCGGATGGGATGGCAAAGCAGTAACAGAGGCTTATGGACTTATGAAGCGCATAGCAGATTGTTCATTCATTGTCAGTTTCCAAACAGTGTTGCATCTTTTTGGATATTTGATGGAACTAAGTAAAAAACTTCAGGGAACTGAAATGGACGTCATTCAAGCCTACGACATGGTAGAACTGGTAAAGGAAACAGTAAAACTTGCAAGAACCAGTGAAGCTGATTATGATATCATATAAATGTATGCTAAATCAGAAAAAATGGCAAGAACAGCTGATATTACGATTGAAATTCCTCAAAGATGTGGAAGACAAACCTAAAGAAATAATATCGAAGCAGAAGATCCCAAAACTTATTTCAAACGTTCAGTTTTCATACCATTTTTAGATAATATCATTCAGCAAATGGACATGAGATTTGGTACTCTTGCTAAAACAGCTCTTCGTGGGTTTTACCTATTACCAAACAATCTTAACAAAATCACAGAGGAAACATCCCCTTCTCTTGTTGAATTCCATAACACTGATTTACCATCCCCATTTACTTTTTCTCAGGAATTGGAGCTCTGGAAGAGGTTATGGTCTAGCCAGGAAGACACACCAGACACCATAACTTCCACACTATCAGACAAAAGAACATGTTCAACTCTATTTCCAAATGTTACAAAAATTTTACATTTTCTACAGCTAACAGCAGTTTCTTCAAGTGGAGTAGAACGCGGAGCTCAGCTTTAAAAGATATCAAACGGGCATCGAGGAGTTCTATGAGAGAAGAAAGATTAAACGCACTTCTTCTTCTTTATATATGTCAGGACATCAACTTTGATGTCGAATCAGTCGTTGAAATGTATGCTAGACAGCAGCCACGAAGAATGCTACTTATCAATCCTCTAGCAGAGAAATAAATACGCAAATTAAATTTAATTTTGTGATTTAAGCAATAAACTACAATTCAAGACCACTGCCTTCTTTACTTAATGACTTGTTTTACCTAACAATGCAAATCAGATGATTAAAAATGTTGAATCATTATGCTTTCTTTGATAAGCAGATACCGTATTAACTGTGTAAAATTAGAACCAGGCAACGCCAATTTAAGCAATTTTAAGCGTTAGGCTGTTCATCAAACATTAAACATAAAAAAATCCAAAGAAAATATGAAAAGACAAATGTAAAAATGTCTATTCAGTAGGCCTCATTTTTACCCTTCAAAATCTCTAGAATCCAGGAGTTTCCAGGGCCTTCGCCACACCCCCCACCCCCGCCCCCACCAGGGCTTCGCCCTGGATCCACTGGGGGCCTTCAGGAGGCCCCAAGACCCCTTGCCTAATTTTGGCGCCCCCTACCTTCAATTCCTGGATCCGCGCCTGCGTTTCCAGCTGCGATGTCTTGTTCAAGTAAATGACCGACTTGGCCATTAAGAGTTACATGTACGTGAAGTTCTGCTGCTCAGTGCAGTCAGATTTGCGTTGTGCATGTGATGACCATGCAAAGGAAGCAAAAGCAAATCCACCAACCATGAGTTGAAAGGCAAATATATGTTATTTACATTTATCATGTTAATTAAGTTAAATCTCTGAAGATTTGCGTTTTTATGAATGGTGCTATATATTCCCTGTGCGGAAGGGTTGCATAAAATATTCAAAAGAAGATGGTCAAATTCAAAGCAAAAAAGGATATATTTCCGACAGCTTCATGTCCCAGCCTAGACGATAAAGATTTCGCAAAACCTGCTATATTAAAAATAAGTACAGTTTCAATAGAAATCTGGCACTGTATTTTTCTGAAAATTTAGATATTAGGAAAGAAACTTAAATTCACCCTTTCTGAATTATTGAAACTCCATGCGGTAACAACATAAAAAAAATTTCCCCACATGACCTCCTTTATTCTAAATGTGACGTCATGAATTTGTGCATTTTTCCGCATTTTCTTTTAAAATTTCAAAAGAAATCAATTTTCAGAAGAAATCAATTTTTAGTGGAAATCTTTCAGAAAACAAAAACTACATGCTTCGCGTAGAATAATTTTGAGATATTGAATTTCCAAAGCATTTTAAAATGTACAAATATAATAACTGAAATGGGTGACGATGCAGACTCTATTTTCTACTGAAAAAAAGCTGAATATCATGCTGAATATAAATTGTATAAGATTAAATATCTCGATTCAACTTCAAAAACAAAATTTTCTTGACCTCCTCCTTCTTTTTAGCAAACCTTTTGTAAAGCAAATCCTTCATAAATGGATACATTTGTATTCCACAATCGTTTGTCAATAGGCTTTTTTTTAAATGTCAGACCCAGAAAATGGTAAGCATATAGAATCATTTTATTTACTATTTGTCCACATGTACCTGTTGTTGCATTGGATGCTCACTCCTCCATGGCACCTGATTCCACCACTGATGTTTTGGAGGTCTGTGCTTGCTCTGCTCCTATTTTGTACCGTTTTATGGACTTTTGATCTTGAGTACTGTTCGTTATCTCCTTATGTTTTATTCACACAAACTGTACATATTGCACAGAGTATTAAATTTAACTCCCTATTACACGTGTGCATGAAATATATGACTCTTACCTTTGTTTAATTTCTAGTACTGTATTTATCTGTTTCTTTACTTATTAATATACTTTATAAATACAATAAATCTTTATCGCAATTGATTATTATTGTTTTAGGTAATATAGATTATAAATATAGATATATATGCACATGATATATACATTTATTGCATAAAACAAATCTTTGAAGGCTATATCACATTGTTTTTAGTGGAAAAATATAGCTACATCATTTCCACTCCATCTAAACTTAACATACATTAATTGATATTTTCTTGAAATCATCATATTAGCCAATTAAGGACCAGAACCAACACTTACCTTAACCCTCAAGGTTAAGAAATCTTAATGAGAACTCTGACTGTTTATTTAAATTATGATGGGTTTCTTACACGATATATATATTATAAATTTCAGCATTTCAAATTATGTTTGAAATTCTGCACTAACGTTAACAAAGTAGTAGGACAATTTGTCCATGTAAGGTTTTATGATACTTTTATCCTCTGTGCTTCCTGTCTTTTTTTGACAAAAGGACATTGTTAATATCAACTGATTCGATGCCGGAGAGCATGTTCTACATACAATTTCTAAAACGAGGTAAATTATTGACTGACAAATAGCTGAAACAAAAATATAAGTCATCATTTCGTAAACTCTATGGTCGATATATAATGACCTTGTCAGCTAATACAATTTATTATTAAGTCATGTTAATGCTGACTGACGTTTTTGATACTAATTGTTAGGCCAGTATAAACGTTTTTACGTTATTTCCAGATCTTGGAAAGGAACACACGCAGAAGCTGTGACCGGTCGGCCGGGGATGCTCTCTCATCCATGGCACTTGATCACACCTCTGATATTTTGGAAGTCCGTGTTAATTTTGCATTGTTTGATGGACTTTTAAGCTTAAATACAGTTCGTTATTTCCATATATTTCACTTTAAGAATTTTTGTCCTCTATACAATATAATAAATAAAACCCTCTATCAAGCCAATTTTAGACAAGATTTATTGTAAAGGAAAAATATTGATATTCAGGGTCGAAATAAAGAATTGTTGTACTCGTACGTAGAATACAGTTATCCATGTATTATGACCATCATAGTCAATATTTTCAAATCATTGACAAATATATTTCACATATAGATACTTGTATGTTCCAGCACAAGGATCTCCAAATACTCCGTTGCTGGCTGATATATAGCAGGTTTGCTCTCCGTTGCACTTCCACTTGGTCAACATTGTAGAAGCAGGGGAGAGACAATTGGTATTTTTAATAGATTTGCTAGGGCATAGATGACCTCCTTCTGTACGGCCGTAGTTTGCAGCAAGTATGTTAATTCGTTGAGGTTTATTACAACGAAGGTAAGCAATATTGCGTTCGCAAATGATTACTCCAGCGTAAGCTGAAAAGAAAAGAAAAGAAAAATGGTTACATATTTTTTGCCTTAAAAAGGGAATTCAACGGCATGGTCGATTGGATCTGGTCTTTTAATTTAATTAAATAATTAATGTATCAATATTACTTTGATCTTTAACAACATAAATTACGTATACACTAAGGGTTGAGATCAAGGAAAAATATATCTTGCCAAATAGGTGGACAACTATATTATCTTATTTTATAACAATATAGAATTATCAAATCACATGCGCAACCCGTATGATATTTTTGAGGGATCAAAGGGATTATGACGATTATAGTTTCCTAGTTCAATACAACTAGATTTTATTTTTAGTAGTTTTAGAAGCATAACACATAGAATACCTACCTTCTGAAGACACATGTGATATTAAAAGAGAAAATATCCCAAAATAAACCAAAAATATTGCGGTTTTCTTCATTCTCGTACTACTATAGCGCAGATGAAAAATTATGAAATAAAATCCCTGAACAGCTTAGTATTTATTAATGTCTCATTCATAAAACACAACAATCTGTTTCAAAATCACTTAATTCTAGATGCTATTTTAAACTGCATTTGACATGTTAGATGCATAGCTATTGAAACATGTGTTGTGACTTTTTTGTTTGTATGAAAAGTAACTATTTTTAAGCTAATTGAAAATTAGAAGAGAAAGAAAGAAGGAAATGTATATTTTATGTGACTCACGATATATTTAACAGAGAGGAAATAAACAAAATTATATAACGTTATATGTCTCCACGAGTACTCAAACTCCGTCGCCATGAGCTGAAACACGCTGCACCACTCTTTGCATTATTTTTTCATCCAGGTAAATTTTATGAGGAAAAACAAAATGAATAAAAAATCAGAAAAATCACATAGGCTGATTTTTACCATTTTGCTTTTCCCAATAAACTTCACCCAGCTTAATATTTTTCTAAAGTTTATGTTACACTTTTAGCGCCGAACTAAGTCTTATGAAATTTTTTTTTATCTGTAAACCTTTACTGAGTGCAATTTGTCCATATTTGTAATTTTATTAAAGTATTAACTAATGTTTTCCAACACTATTTCATTTTCCAAATCCAAGAGAAAATATTCAAGGAATACAGGCGCAACAGTATCGTCAGAGGAACTGTGGTGTCATGAGTAAATAATCTGTTCGTAGAAACTCAGCTTAAGAATCATTTAACAATTGATCTCAGGGTTCAGCTGGCAACAGTTCTTTAATTAATTCAGCCATGGCCTTTTATATGCCAACGAGCAATTAAAATCATAGTACGTGTACTTGTGTTTTGTTGAGGTTATTTAGCTTAAAGTTTATTTATTTTTATAAAATTTTGTGTTTGGCTTCTCTGATAACAGGATGTAATGTTATCTATTTAATCGGTTTATCTGCGAGTCAAACACAGCATGTTTGTTTTGTACTAATTATCTCTCTTGATTGTGTCACGTGATTTAGACACCACGCAGCAGCCGACAAATGGTACATGTAATCTGAAACCCCTCCCATCTTAACCTGTTGCTTTATAGGGGACAGTTTTTTGCTGCTTTTTGTTTTATTTTGAATAATTTTTGGCGGAAAGAGTATTGTTTTTCTTTCAACTTCGTCATGGCTGCATCAAGCATGAAGATATCCATGGATGGTCAGTTGGACAGAACCGGCAGAACCTTCAGTCGCATGAGTATCGCATTTTTTTTTTTTTTTGGTCGCACCAGGATCACCAGCCGAGAGGAACTGTGGTATCAATTTATGAGTGTACCTAATGGTTTTGTAGAAATTTTCAGCTTATAAATCATGACCCATTCTGTCAACGAGCACGTAAAATTATTTAAGGTGTATTTGTGTATTTGTTGAAGTTGTTTGCCTTTATTAGATTTTATAAAATAAAATGTTCTGTTTGGCTTTTCTGGTATTGTTTTACGTAGTAGGGGCATTTGAAACGTTCTGAGAATTGTTTAATAAAAATTAACCGTTTCATAGAAATTATCAAATTTGATACCATTAAAAAGAGTTTAAAATTTGACTTATTTTGTTTGGTCACTTTTTTTATTTCTATGACGTAACAACTCCAAAATTGACGCCAGAATCCCTAATGTTCAGCTGAAAAGTTGCTTCTTTGTCAACATGAGAGGATTAGTAAAGCCCATGATTTCCGCCTGCCAATTAATATTTTACGTAACACTTTTCAGAACTTTTCCAATGCCCCTACTTTTTCTCGGAAATTCCTTCGCAGTGCTTAGCATATATAAATTTGTACAATTCTGATTAAGACAAAGGACGTGCTAAAAGTTTAAACATTAACTGGAACATTGTTTTCAAGAAGGAAGAGAGATGGTTGAAACTAAAATTTCTGGCCCCAGGATCATGAAACAAACTTAGACTTAAGTCAAATTTTTAATCAACTAAAAATATTTATTGTCTTTGGATTATTCTCTAAATTTACAGATCTAAATTTACGGATAAAAACATTTTTGTAGAGCAATATTGGGATAATTTTTTAATTTTGGTATACTTGACTTCAACAAGTTTTTAGAACACAATAAAAATTTTGACTTAAGCTTATGACGTTTCATAATCCTGGGGCCTGGTGCCAGTGAAAGTAAGATTGGAAAGAGATTTGTCATTAGTTGAACAATTTATTATGAAAGAAGACCAAGTTACAATTAAAAAATAGTTGGATATTAATATCTAAACAATATTATTATTAAATTCCTAAAATATTATTTACTTCAGACATAAAAGATATGATTTAGAGAAAGTTCCTATCCTACAAGTAAATTCAAATTGGATATAGGATGCATGAAAGGTAGAGGAGGCGGGCTTAGATGATCACCATGCTTATCCTGGATAAGGATATCCTTTTCCGCCCATACTATGGCCTAGATTTTCCATTTGTTATAAATGGACTATTTATGTGATAAAAATAATAACCTGCAAAATTAATTTAAGGTTTCCAACGAATAGATCACTTTTGGACTTTTACGAAAAGCACTGACTTTTACAGTTGACAGTTAACTTTGACATTTAAACCTGTGACATTTTTGGAGGTACTGAATTGATTATAAAGAAAATTTTTCCAGTAGTCATAAGTATAGTGTTAAGCCAATAACATGTGAATGCTGGGAATTGAGGGTAGCTTGGTTGTCGTTTTCTTCGGGGGCAACTTAATAATGCTTTGAAATGAGCTGTTGTTTCGTTTTTAAAAAACGGAGCGAAATATTTATATAATAAAGGAGCTTCCGTACATTGTCCTAGAGTAAAAATAAGCCGTCAACAGTAACGGAATGAAAACAGAAAAATGACAAGCACTTATTGATCTAAAAAAAAGTGATACAGTTCTTAGAACAGGACCTTTACAGGGACCCTGGAAATTCCAGAGTTG